TCTAAAAATGAAGAAAGAAGAAAACAAATTAAACAAGTTAATCAACTACAACGTAAAGAAAATGAAAAAAATAAAAATAAAAATTCTTTAACAACTCAAAATAATGAAACTTCAATTATTCAAGTACCAAAATCTGTTAGAGTTGAAGATTTTAACGAAGATGACTATATCACAGAGAATGAAATCGAAGAAGTTATTGTAACCGGAGAAACATCAATATCTGTTCATCAAGATGTTTGTCAAGATATTGTTAAAAAAAGAAAACTTGATATTGATAAAAATTATAGTAAAAAACAAAAAATTAATTTAATCTGTTTAGACAATAAAGATAGTGTGATTGAATTAAATATTCAAGACGAAATTAGTTTAAAAATTGTTGGAAAATGTACTTTAAATTTTAATTAATTAATTTTTTTTTTAATTTTGACCTCAGAATAAAAAATATAAATATTTTTATTTACTTATTTTTTTTTAATAACAATGTTATCGATTATTATTTTGAGTATCTTTTGCGAGAAAAACTGAGTACTTTGATTTCTGACCAATTATTGATTATTATTTTGAGTATCTTTTGTGAGAAAAACTGAGTACTTTGATTTTTGACCAATTATCGATTATTATTTTGAGTATCTTTTGTGAGAAAAACTGAGTACTTTGATTTCTGATTAATCATCGTCATTATTATTTTGAGTATCTTTTGTGAGAAAAACTGAGTACTTTAATTTCTGATTAATCATCGTCGTTATTATTTTGAGTATTTTTTGTGAGAAAAACTGAGTACTTTGATTTCTGACCAATCATCGATTTTTATTTTGAGTATCTTTTGCGAGAAAAACTGAGTACTTTGATTTTTGACCAATTATCGATTATTATTTTGAGTATCTTTTGTGAGAAAAACTGAGTACTTTGATTTTTGACCAATCATCGATTATTATTTTGAGTATCTTTTGTGAGAAAAACTGAGTACTTTGATTTTTGACCAATCATTGATTATTATTTTGAGTATCTTTTGTGAGAAAAACTGAGTACTTTGAGTATCTTTTACAAACTTTCACCAATCTAATC